AAGTCGCCACGTCCAAGGGGCCCTCCCTCCTACAATGCCCAGTGTCAAGTGTATGTCTGAGTGGCCCAACCATGTCATGGAGCAGATGCTGGAGCCTACGGCTTTTGGGATGGTGTGGTGCGGCGAGGAAAAGAACGTGTAATCACGGTCGCCTGGATGGTGTGCCATCCATATGTCTATAAGTCCTGTTGACTTTAGGAAGCTGCAGAAGGCTTTGTCTTGGGCGCCCCTGCCCTAGGGTCGGGGTTGGCCCCTTGTGGCGCTCCAGTCTACGGCTGGGCATGGGACTGCATTGCAGTCGCCCCCCAGGATCAGTAGGCCGTGAGGAAGGGAGCGGATCTTACTTTTCAAGCTACTGCAAAACGCCGAGTCAGGTACATTTGGTGCATATATGTTAATAATATGTATTACCTGTGCGTGTAATGTGCCTGATATAATGAGATATCGTCCATTTTGGTCGCTGTCTGTGGTCGTTATTCGGATAGGGCAGTCACGATGTAGCAAAATCGTCACGCCATTGCGTTTGTTAAGAGCTCTGGCCTCTACTACCGTGTTATAGGTGTGATCTTTAAGGGCCAAGGTGGCGTGCCTAGGCAAGTGGGATTCCTGGATCAAGGCGACATCAGGGCGCAGGCGCTTAAGCTCACGGAACATGAGATGTCTTTTTTGGGGGGAGTTAAGTCCCTTAACATTAAGGGACGACAGCTTCAGTGTCATAGTTCCGTAATCAGGTCTCAGCTATCAGGAGTGAAGTGTTCGTAGGCACGCAGTTAGGCGGTTAATTTGCAGAACGGCTGAGTTATGAGCATCCACCGTGGCCTCCTGCCTGTGTTCAAGCCTCGTGGTCCTGGCGCCCAGCGCCTGTATTTCACCGTGCAGAACTGCGATGGATTTTTTTATTTCCCCGGCCAAAAAGTGCTTGACTTCAGCCAGCTGTGCCAGTATCTCTGGTGTTTCCCCTGTCGGTTGAGCTACTGGGGAAGAACTTCGCTGTGGCGGGGAAGTGGGAGCAAGGCTTGCTCCGACGCCATCTTGGGCCTGATGAGCGGGTGGTTTGGCAGCCGCGAATATGTCAGCAACCGACCTTCCCTGGTCCTGGCCCTTCTTGGGCTGTTTCTTGGGGATGCGTTTATCCATGTGGGTCGTGATTAGGTTTGTCTCTCAAGGTTTTTATCACTGATTTTGGCTTTAGGCGGCGGTTTCAGGACAGAGCTCTAGCCATGTGCGTCCAGCTCGGTCCTCGGTCAAGCCACGCCCCCACCCATGTACTAGTTTTATAGTGTTTTTGAAAGTAACAGGGTCAAATATAAGGCTTGCCCATTTAATTTTATTCAGTGAAATTTGCCAAATTGGTTATGTTGCCTTTGAGACCGTATGGTAGCCCAAGAATAAGAATTAACCCCACCATGACATACCATTTGCAAAAGTAGACAACCCAAGGTATTGCAAATAGGGTATGTCTAGTTTTTTGTAGTAGCCACTTAGTCACAAACACTGGCCAAAGGTAGCCTTCATATTCATTTTTTGCATTTTTCACATACAAACAAATATAAATGCTAACTTTGGCTAGAGTTTGTGACTAAGTGGCAACTACAAAAGACTGGAGATACCCCATTTTGAATACCCTGTGTTGTCTTCTTTTTCAGATGGTATGTCATGGTGGGGTTAATTTTCATTTGTGGACTTCCATACCGTCTCAAAGGCAATATAGCTAATCTGACAAATAGCAATTTACAAAAATAGAAATTGGCAAATCTTATGTTTAACCCTGTAACTTTACAAATCACCATAAAACCTATACTTGAGAGGTACTGTTGTACTCGTGAGACATTACTCTACATATAGAATGTCTGTATATATATATATATATATATATATAATATCAAACATTACCGGCACTCTTGGGTTTAGTTCATCCAATTTATTGTTGGTCAATTCAAGCAAAGTCAACGTTTCAGCTCCCGATCGGAGCTTTCATCAGGACACAAAAGGCCTTTTTTTGTCCTGAAGAAAGCTCCGATCGGGAGCTGAAACATTGACTTTGCTTGAATTGACCAACAATAAATTGGATGAACTAAACCCAAGAGTGACGGTAATTTTTTGATATTTTTTATATTATTGGGACTTGGCACCTGGTATCATTTATTTTAAGTAGGAGTGCAAGAGGTTCAAATATATTTCTCGCTCTCTTTCTCTCTCTCTCTCTATATATATATACACATACATACATACATATATACTCACACACACATAAAGATGTAAAAAACAGATAAAATTTGTATCTTGTAATACCTTTTTTATTGGACTAACAGAATATTTTAATGACAAGCTTTCAGGAGAACCTCCATTTCTCAAGTCCGAAGCATTTCTGAGCAATGCTTCAGACTTGAGAAATGGAGGTGCTCCCGAAAGCTTGTCATTAAAAAATTCTGTGAGTTCAATAAAAAAGGTATTACAAGATACACGGCTACACTCTCTACTTTACTCTCTACTACACTCTCTACTTTACTCTCTACTGGACCCATCAGCAATAAGGCCTATGAAATAGACTGTGACAAACCCGAAGACATTGAGCCCATGGCTGCCATAATGGCGTCTGTCACTGAGCGCTGATATGCTAGCCACTGGTCCTCCTCAAAGTGGCCAACCGGACATAGGAGACATCTTCCAGGTGATGAGACTTGTCAGCCTCCATAGGGGAAGGTGGACACAAAGGCACGTTAGGCCTGAGGCTGTGCTCCAAGACCAGTTTACAGAGGTAGAAAAGTGGATCGCAGAAAACAAACTCTTCCTGAACACTGACAAAACTGTCACAATGATCTTTGGAACAGTACCTAAATTACACAAATTACACAATTCCAACCTATCCATCAAAACAAATTCAAATGGCACACTGACCGCAGTCCACTCTTTCAAATACTTAGGTATGATGTTAGACCCCAATCTATCTTTTGTCCTGCACATAGAAAAGCTTGCATCTAAACTTTAGCCAAAACTAGGTGCCCTGTACAGAAACAAATCCTGCCTAAGCCCTGCAGTAAAAGAAAAGATTGTACAGCAAATGCTGATGCCAATCATTGATTATTGGGATGTAGTATATGCATCTGCATCGCAATCCCACATTAATAAACTCAACACTAAAATTCAGTTACTTAGAGGTGTATACATAAGGCTATTGGATACCTTAAAATATGTGGTCATCATAGAAAAAGGGTTGTGACTTAACCATTCTGTCCAATCTATGATTAAAGCCATACAATATATTTGAGTGGTAAAATATAATTTACACAAAAGACGTTCTATATACATTGTTAAATGAATGCCTTCAGAAATGGGACTCTTCCTAACACACACAGGAGTCTGGCTTGCAATGCTGGGTCAAAGGTTAATATCAACAGGCCTTTATCAATCTCTCTTATAAAGAACCATATGTGGTGACCGTCGAAATACAGATGAATAGTGTAACGGATCACCTGGCACCCTGACTGGGTACCTCCATTGAAGGATGCTCCTAGCGCTTCCTGAGGACTCCAAGCACTCCAGCAGACACCATAACCACCATAGACTCCTTCAGGTAGCAGAACAGGAACAAGCTCTTACAAGAGCTTAGGAGTGATAATAGCAAGGGAATATGCAGAGCATAGCAATCCCTTGCAGCAGATTCCCCCAATAAGAGACGGCACTCCAAATTGAGGGTGAAGTAGAACTGAGCTTTTTAATGACACTCACTCTGCTTTTATGCAATTCTCCCGTGCAAAGGATGCAATTCTCCCGTGCAAGGGAGACGCCCACAGACAATTATGAATTACCCAATCACACACTAGTTACATCCCACACATCTCCTCCTCATAGCCTGAGGTAACACAATTAGGCATACAGTTTAAAACATACTTTTAACCCAACGTTCATAACTTTAAAACTATACATCCAATATTAATAAAAGTCACATATTATTTATCAGCATATATCAAATATAAACAAACCCAAAAATCATTCGGGAGATAGATATAAGTCACCTTTGACCGACCGCAAGCACATTTTCATGCCCAAAACAGTTCCAAAGCATCAGGCTGTGCGGCCGGTCTATTTCCCATGTTAAAGTCAGTTCAAACAGACGAACGACAACCATTCGAATTGTCGAACGAACTGTCGAATGGACTGTCGAATGCATTAGTTCCAGGGAAGGTAAAACTTCAGAAGTGTTCGTGCCTTTCTGTAGCAGACTTTAATTCCATGAATTTGACGGCACACACCGCTGACTGCATTCAAATGAATCAAAATGGCCGCTGCCACGTGTTCGGTTTTCTAATGGCGGCCACTTCGACTACTTCGGCACTTCGGCTGCATCCAAAGTGCCATGCCAAAACTGCAGGTCCTTTCCCAAAGAACTTAAAGGGCCAGAAACAGCACAATAAAAATCCATTATGCCCAAATACAGTTCTTAAAGGGCCATACAGAGTCCAATACAAGTCCATAAGCCCCAAATCAGTTCCTTAAAGGACAATACATCCCAGGGACCATAGTCACATGGGAGGAGGCTGGCAATCAGTCTTCTCCAATGCCCAGTGGCGAGGTTGTTTTCACCACAAATAGTGTCTGAAAGTAGTTTGAAATTAAATTAATTTCAACTTATTCAAAAATGATAATATTCATATCATAAAGATAAAATCCTATAACACAGATATTTTAAAGTTCATTAAATATTTCAGTTTCATCTTTAGTTTTCTGCTCCTCTGTGTCAGAAATTGCTCTTTATGTATGCCCCCTAGTGAACAGTGTCTTTTTTCTCTCTCATTAATTTAAATGTATTCATTTATTTTGTGTATTATCTGTAAAATGCATTTAAAAAAGGTTTCATTTTGACCATATTGTTTAATTTAATTATCTTCCCCCAGTGCTAGTGGTGGCTCTGCATGTATGTCCTAATCTAGAGAGCAGTATTAAAGACATGTATGAACCGAAAGAACCTCGCTTCTGAATAAAATAACACACCCTTGGGACGGGGCCTGACCGCCATACTGAGTGGAAGCATGGTTGGTGAGCTTCTCACACGATACAGCAAAAATCACAAAAAAAACTGCTCACCGCGACTAATCAAACCGGTTATCCAGGTCCCCGCTGATCACAACACATTTGGAATCACACTACCCTGGCACCTGGCTTAAGCACTGAGAAGCACCGCCGCAACTCTCACTGCCCAAATTGACGACAGGCTCCTCTGCAACATGCAAGGCCTGGGCCCTATGCAGCCAACGTCTCACAGCTACATTGAGCAAGGCATGCTGCACCTAGATGATATCTTAAATGCCTTCTAAGACAAACTGCAGGCTCAAATACAGCAGCCACAACAGAAGCACATAACAGTGGACAGGAGCAATGCCATGCTGAAGAAGGGGAAATAAACTGTGGGCAAAGACTCCTACTCACACTCCAGTGACAATCCGCCATCACAGGCTGAGAGTCTCCCGAGGTACAACCTTCAAACGACGACCATACCGGCCGGAAACCTCCAGCAAGAGCAGGCACTTAACATCAAGCTCCTCCAGCCACCCTACCACGGGAAAAACTTGGCTCCAAGGCGGTCTCGAGTTTATAGATCCAAGATGCGGACCCTCACTCAGGCCTGGAAATGGAGGGGGCGCCTATCTCGGCGCTCAAGAGCAGAAGAATACGTGGACCCAATGGACTGCAAAGTGATAGGTTGAGCAGGGCTTCGATATCCACACCAGAGTAATGCCCCAGTACCGTAATGGCGGATGCCGATGGGCTACTTGTGTATGATGGGCAACTAAATATTATTTTCTTGTTGAAACCCTAAGTCTTAGCATTTAAGTTAACCTCACTATGTTCCTAGAATGTCTGGTCAGGGTGGCGGGTCAATAGTTATTTGTTCTCAACGGACCTTGTCTATGTGTCTAGCTTACTTTTGTATTTTATCTATCAAAAGAAAATAAGGCATTGCCCAACAGTATGAGTCAGGTTTAGACACTGCTTGCTTTTCTAACTCACCTGACACATAGATTTTAATGCATATACTATGCCAAGTTTTCTGTCTCTACGCATTTTAGTAACTCTTATTACATTTAAAAATTGGGCTGCAATCTCAATGCCATACCTATGTTAGAATCTGTTGATATTGTGCCTTCCTTGCCGTCGTGGCATTGCAAGCTGCTTGTTAACGTATGCACAACAAAAATAAAGAATATTAAAAAAAAATAATACAACAACCCTAGCTTTTCCTCTCATTTATTTATATCTCTCAATATGTTGATTGTATATGTAATCAAAGTGTGAGGGGATTAGTTACTAAATACTGTACTATAGTAACTTGTAAACCAAACTGCAAACGTTAGCCTAGAGCTGTGACTATAGCTCTGTTGGATAATTTTTCTAAATCATATTTTTTCCACTGAATTATCTGCTTCACATTTTCAATTCACTGCTTTTCGATATTTAGTTAGTCAAACCCCAAAGTGTCAGCTGGTAGACACCATATAATTATTATGAAGCAAGCATGCCTGCCTTGTCTCCCCTCACCTGCAAGTAACCCTCCATTTTGCTGATCCCTCAGGTTCCAGGTGCATTATGATGAAACTCTAATGGAACCCAGGGGTCTTGTTAATTTTACTGTGTTAATATTTCACTTACAATACCTATGATTAGTCATAATTGATTTTGACACAGAAGGGAGCTTCAGGAAACTGTAATAATAATGTAGCAACACACAGCCCATGGGATCCTGAGAAGAAATAACCCTTCTGGTATCTTCACATCAAATCCCTCTTGCTGAATCAGCTTTATCTGGATTCATTTAGATTTACATAGAGCTACAGGCAGCAGCTGGAGTTTAACCCTCTGCAAGCCATAGAGCTAGGCGTCTATGCCTTAAGCTGTAAAGGTTAAATCTGTGAGCTCAGTAGAATCCATCTGAACGAAGCATCTCCAATAGGTAAAGAATGTAGAATACTAAGAACGCAGTGACACAGTTTCATGTATTTGCAATAGCTGGTGTAATAGAACACGGAACAGGAAGAAAGACAAGCCAATCAGAACAATTCTTACACTGTAACATTGTATTAGTAAATCCTTTCACAAGAAATCAGCTGGCTCCATAGCTCAGGGGTTAGAGCACTGGTCTTGTAAACCAGGGGTCGCGAGTTCAAATCTCGCTGGGGCCTTCAAAATTTTTTTTTCCCCCTCTCTCATTTTCCCTAATATATTGTTCTTATTATACCTTCAGAATCATGTACTATTAATTAATCAATGCACTGAAAAAAAATCGTAGTATATTAATTTTTTGTATAACCATACTCAATTGTTTAGTTACATTGCTTTGTAACTTCTTCGCTATTATTTTCAAAACCTATTAAATTAGTAATGCTCTTCTATGCTATGAATCAGAGTTTACTTAGGGGTTTATTTACTAAACATTAAATTATAACCCAAATGGCAGAGTTTAGAGTAAAATACTCGAATTTTGAAATATTTTTCAATCCAGCAGTAGTCATAGCTTGACTGTTTTAGCCTAACTGTAGAGTGGGGTATGGTTGTAATGCCTGGCAGTTGTATATAAAAAAAGTACTGGTGTGAAAGGGTAATTGTTTGAGCAAAAAATCTTTAAGAAAAAATTGTTTACCAAATAATAAAGTTACAGATAAAAAAAACAAAGTGCCATAGATATTTTCCCCATGGTTGACATGGTTTGAGGAGGGTGTGTGACAGGGAGGAATGGGGGTAAGTGTGTCAGGGCAAAGTGTATCAGTGTTGGGATGAAGGGTAAATGTGGCATGGCTGGAGGAGGGAGTGTGACACGATTAAGGGGGGTTAATATGACAGGATGAGTGTGGCAGAGTGTGACAGGATTTTCTTGCTCCTGTTTGCTTACAGACAGAGATTTTGCTACTCTGTGGCTACTTTTCATTAAGATACTGTGGAATCCACCAAGTATCCATATTTGAGCTACTTTTGTATATATATCTATCATTACTACTTTAGATAGGATTCTGTGTTGAATCCCAAACCTTTTTTTTATTAACTACTTACTTCGGTCTGCTATTCAGTCTAGCCCTAGTAGCTTCCCAGCTAATATTTTCATTAGGTTATTGGAGCTTATTAGCTCCCCTCAGGGAGGTTTATTTTATTTTTATTTTGGTGTGATTAGTATTTTGTTTATTATATTTATTATTATATTTGTATTTCTGATTTAAATAAAGTGTGTTTTTATATTAATCTGATTTAAGACTCAGAGGTTTCTCCTTAGTGCTCTGGGGACCTTCTGTCCCTTAATCACACCTTCTACAGAGGGGGTGATGATGTTATGATTGAGGGAGGGGAGGTGATGATGGTGTGAGGGGGGTTATTTATGGTGTGACAGAGAGGGGGTGAGGATGGTGTGAGGGAGGGGTTTGATAGTGTGAGGGTGAGGATGGTGTGAAGGAGGATGTTGATGGTGTGAGGGAGAGGGGATGATGATGGTGTGGGGGTGAGGAAGGTGTGAGGGAGAGGGGGTGAGGATGGTGTGAGGGAATGATAATGGTGTGAAGGAAGGGGGGTAATTAATGGTGTGAGGGAGAGGGGGTGATGATGGGTGATGATGATGTGAGGGAGAGGGGGTGATGATGGTGTGAGGGAGAGAGGGTGATGATGGTGTGGACTTCATGAGGCCTTAGGCGAAACTCAAACACGAGGCCCCACTAACACCCAAAGTGGAAAAATAGGGTTGCATGGGGGAGGGGTATTGATGGTGTGAGGGAGGGAGGTATTGTTGTTGTGAGGGAGGGGGGTACTGAGGTTGTGAGGGAGGGGTTATTGATGGAGTGAGGGAGAAGGGGTGATGATGTAGTGAGGGAGATGATGGTGATGGTGTAAGGGGAGGGGATGATGGTGTGGGGGGGGCAAGGATTAATTTTTTTTTTTAGCTCCCTGGTGGTCCTGTGGCCATAATATCTGGTCTGCAGCTCTCAGAGCTTTGCCGTGGTAATCCGCCGCAACGCTCTGATTGCCCAGATCTCGTGAGACACGCGGTCTGCAGCTCTGCACACTGCAGAGCTGCAGACAGACGGCCACGGGTGCTCTCCTCCCAGGCAGACCGGAGAAGCCTCGCACCCGGAGGCATACAGAGCAAACCGCCGGGCCCCCTCTTGGTGTTGGATACTCAGTCACTGACCGAGGACCTGACACAGTCTGCCCTAAGCGAATTAGGCGGCTGCGAGGCCCCAGCCAGCGCAAGGCCTTAGGCGGCCGCCTAAATCACTTAATTAGAGAGCCGCCTCTGGTCTCCACGCACGCTGACCTTTCCTCATAGAGATCAATATTCAATGCATTTCTATGAGGAGATGCTAATTTGGTCCTGCATACGCCCGCCTTCTTGACGATCTCAGCAAATCTAATGCTTTTCCTGTGGGAAAGCATTGGATAACCTGAGATCATGAATTCTGATAATGTAAGCCAACAAGGCGGATTGGGGGCAGGGCCAGCGCCTCAGATCTGTGGAGAGCTGAAAATAAGGTGTTTTATCCCTTATTCTAAGAGGGCAAGCCACCTAAATGGTGGTTTTAGCACTATAGGGTCAGGAAGAGAAACGTTGATTTGTTTTTAGGTTGTTATCAAATAAAAGTTAAATTAGATTTTTTCCTTGGAGTCCTTGGAGAGCAGTCTCTTGGTTGAGTTTTTTGTATCTTATGCCAGACCTGCACTGGGCATAATAATCGATTTCCAGGAGTGCAAGCCCAGTGTATATATATATATATATATATATATATATATATTCCATGATCCTGCACTCACATTTGTAGTATAAGTGCCACGGTGCTCTTTCAGCCAAATCAACATAAATCTCCACGAAGAAAGGCACACGCTGGGCTTTTTGAAGAAAATTATTTGGCTTTATTCATAACACATGGGTTACAGCAATTTAACGTTTCAGTCCATCATAGGACTTTCATCAGGAAAGAAAATTATATATATAATTATTTTTATTTTTTTACTGCATAAAGCTCTGTAATATATTTATAAATTTGGTCAACTCATATATATGCTCTATAGCATGCTAGGGGTCTATTTAACTCACGTGTGGCTGTGCAGGTGTCCAATAGAAAAGTACACACACAAAAAAAAAACCTGTAAGAAATTAAGTGGAGAAAACCAGTACTCTTATTTGCAGGTCCATTTGGCATGCAATGTACAAGAATTTTAAATGTTACTATAGCAGCCACCATACATGAAATTATCCGCCAATCAGTGCTCTCTTATTTGTTAAAGTGACACTCCACACCCCTAAAGCACTTCTCTTGCTGAAGTGATTTATGTGTGAAGAGTGTGTCCTCTTTTCATTTTGCAAAAAGTACAGTTTCCAACTGGTTGTGTTACTTCCTGATTATTTAACTCAGTGGCGTTAAACTCATGCAGCAGCAATAGCTCAATAGCTAAAATTCTTCTCATTGAGCTGCATTGGGAAGTTTGTGATTGGACAGCCACAGAAAGTCTGGGCAGGGTTAGAAGAGGAGGGCTTGGAAAGGCAGCAGACGAGACATCTGCTTTCTCTTCATCTGTTTTAAAGTGTCCCATAACCACTGTGCACACTACCTAAAGTAAATTTAGAATTGCAAGACTACCTTTTTATTTTTATTATTATTATTTCTTTTTTCATGTGGGAAACTTATCAAATCAGCAAGCTGTCAGACGAGGCTTAAAAAGTAATCAACCATGGCTGGAATCCCAAGGAATCACATGAAGAACACATATATTACTTAAATATGTGAGCAATACTTTCCTGTAGAAAGCAGGCCTAAGGCCAAAGATGGTGTAGGCCCCGTTTACTAATTTCAAGGCTTGTGAGCCGCATGCAGCTTCACTGGTGGATTACAGCAAGTCCCACTAGGTACCTGTTCCTTTGCAGCCTCTGTTTGTGACTGAACCCTATTCTGTATGAGACTTCTGGCTTTTTGCTAAAATCCTGATTCTTTTCCCAAGTTTAAAGGATTAATCCAAGCACCATGACCACTTCAGTGATTTTAAGTGGTCATGGTGCCTTCAGTCTATATATGCAGCATTTCACTTTGAAACACTCCACATATGGTATTTAACCCCTCTGCTGTTAATCCTGTGCAACTGAGAGCGGTCAGCTTGTAACAAACCTCATGTACTTCGTGAAGTACGTTTGATCGCACACTTCCGACATGCTAGAGGCTTAGTGATTATAG